AGTGAGGCTTGGCATGGTGGTGTGAGGCTTAACCTGCTGGCATGATGTTTGGCCTAGTGGCTTGAAGCTTGGCCTGCTCTTGCTAGGCTTGGCCTGCTGTCATGAGGCTTGGCTGGTATTGTGAGGCTTAGCCTGCTTATGTGAGGCCTTTCACGGTAGCATGTGGCTTGACCTGCTGGCATGAGACTTAGCCAGATTGTTTGAGGCTTGGCCTGCTCCCGTGAGGCTTAGCTTCGTGGAGTGAGGCTTTGCCTCTGGTACTTGAGGCTTGGCCTGCTGGCATGAGGCTTGGCCTGGTGTTGGGACGCTTGGCCTACTGGTGTGAGGTTTGGACTGGTGGAGTGAGGCTTAGCCTACTGCTGTGAGGCTTGGCACAGTAGCATGAGGCTTGGCCTGCTGGCATGAGGTTTAGCCAGATAGCTTCAGGCTTGGGCTGCTGGAATGAGGCTTAGCCTGGTGGGATGAGGCTTGGCCTTCTGGTTTGAGCCGTGGCCTGGTGGAGAGAGGCTTAGGCTGGTGGAGTGAGGCAGACCTACTAGAGTGAGGCTTGGCCTGCTGGTGTGAGGCTAGGCTTGCTGATTTGAGGACTGGCCTACTAGTTTTAGGCTTGGCCTGCTGGTGTGAGGCTTGGACTGGTGTTGTGTCACTTGTCCTGGTGGCGTGAGGCATGGCCTGTTGGTGTGTAGTTTTGCCTGCTGGTTAGAGACTTGGTCCTATGTTTTGGTTTTTGGCATCCTGGTTTGGGCCATGGCCTGCTGATGTGAGGCTTGACCTGCTATCAATGGCTTTAACTGCTGGCGTGAGGCTGGGCCTGTTACTGTGCCAAGCCTCACAACAGCAGGCTAAGCCTCACTCCACCAGTCCAAGCCTCACACCACCAGGCCAAGCCTCACAACAGCAGGCCAAGACTCAAGCACCTAGGCCAAGCCTCACGCCAGCAGACCAAGGCTCAGGACAGCAGGGCAAGCCTCGAGCCAGCATGCCGAGCCTCAATTTAGCATGCCGAGCCTCACGCAACCAGAAAAAGCCTCACGCCACTAGGACAAGCCTCATGTCAACAGGTCAAGCCTCATGTGAGCATGCCAAGCCTCCTGCCTGCTGGCATGAGACTTAGCCTGGTGGGGTGTGACTTAACCTACTGGTGTGAGGCTTGGCCTGCTGGCATGAGGCTTATCCTAGTGGTGTGAGGCTTGTACTGGTGGCATGAGGCTTGGCATGCTGGCTTGAGGCTTGCCCTTCTGGCGTGAGGCTTGACCTACTTGCATGAGGTTTGGCCTAGTGGCTTGAGGCTTGGCCTGCTGTTGTGAGGCTTTGACTGCTGTTTTGAGGCTTGGCCTGGTGGTGTGATGCTTGGACTGGTGGAGTGAGGCTTAGCCTGCTGCTGTGAAGCTTAGTATGGTAGCATGAGGCTTGACCTTCTGGTTTGAGATTTGGCCTGGTGGCATGAGGCCTAGACAGATGGCATTAGGCTTGGCCTGCTGGCTTGAGGCTTAGATTGGTAGAGTGAGGCTTGGACTTCTGGAGTGAGGTTTGGCCTGGTGGAGTGAGACTTGGCCTGGTGGAAAGAGGCTTAGCCTGATGCAGTGAGGTAGGCCTACTAGAGTAAGGATTGGCCTGTTGGTGTGAGGCTTAGCCTGCTGATTTGAGGATTGACCTACTGGTTTGAGGCTTGGCTTGCTGGTGTGAGGCTCAGACTGGTGACATCTCACTTGTCCTAGTGGCATGAGGCTTGGCCTGCAGGCATGAGGTATGGACTTCTGGTGAGAGACTTGGTCTGCAGCTTTGAGTCTTGGCATCCTGGTGTGGGGCTTGGTCTCTGCATGTGAGGCTTGATCTCTTGGCATGAGGCTGGACCTGCTGGCATGAGCCTTGTCCCTCTGGTAGGAGGCTTAGCCTACTGGTATGCGGCTTGGCCTCGTGGTGTGAGGCTTGGCCTCATGGTGTGAGGCTTGGTCTCACAGAGTGAGGATTGGCCTGGTGGAATGAGGCTTGTCCTGCGTGCGTGAGGCTTGGCATGCTGGCATAAGGGTTAGTGTGGCAGGGGGGGGGGTTTTGGCCCCGGG